GATGCTGTGTTTGGGATCCTCAGTAAAGTCAAGCCTTCCTACCAGTCCTGTGCTGACTGCATGTACTCCTCGGGCAGCCTGGCTCCGGACTCTTTTGGGGAACAGTGTGAGAAGCTGAACTCCAGCTCTGCACACCGCAGCTCCACCATCTGCACACAGCCAGCCCTCCTCTCCCACCTCCCCCCATTGGGGGAGCACCTTCTCAGCAGGGCACGCATGGAGGAGGGAATTGGGACTAGAAATACTGAGGCACTGCTTCCTCTGTCAGCAGGAGGAGGTGCTTTGGAAGCCGGTGCTTGCAAATCAATGGTTGCTCATCAGTGTGGCTTTTCAGAAAAAGGAAAAGATGCACCAGAAATCCCTGTCAGAACACTGCAGCCCAGGAGAAACTCGCACTGTGACAAGAGCCTGCTTAGCACAGAAGTGGTGAAAGAAGAGTCTCTGACCAGAAAAGATAGCAAACCTACCAAGGATCCAAAGTACTTGTTCAGTAAAGACTTGGAAAAGCCAAGTGCTAACAGTTACTTGATGCAGCATCAGGAGTCCCTTATTCAGTTGCAGAAGGCAGGCTTGGTCAGGAAGCACACCAAAGAGCTGGAGCGGCTGAGGAGCCTGCCCTCAGACACCTCAGTGCTGCTCCGAGAGAGCGCCCTGGGCAGGACAGAGCCCAGCATCGCAGAGGAAGGAGAGGAGCTGGTTCCGCATCCCGGCCTCGTGCCCCTCCTGAGGCCTTCACCACCTGAACCCGGAGATGCTGAAAGCGACCTGGAGAAGCTGGAGGTCAAACGCGTGCTGGACGGGGGGACCTCTCAGAAAGCCTCCATCCCCATGGTGTGCAGGCTGGAACACACCAGCAGCTTCACCAAGGACTTCCTGAAGACCATCTGCTACACCCCCTCGTCCTCCCGCAGCTCCAATCTGACGCGCAGCTCCAGCAGTGACAGCATCCACAGCGTGCGTGGCAAGCCAGGCCTGGTGAAGCAGCGGACTCAGGAGATCGAGACCCGGCTGCGGCTGGCCGGCTTGACTGTCTCTTCCCCTCTGAAGAGGTCCAACTCTCTTGCCAAGCTGGGGTGTCTTAACCTGTCTTCCGAGGACCTGTCCAGCGACGTGGACGTGTCGACCATCACGGGCTCCAAGGAGGCCGTTTCCAGCGAGTCTTCCGGGCTCTGTGAGCCACCCTCTGCCCCAAGGGGTGCAGATGTTGGCTCCAAGATGTCAGCCAAGCCGGCACTTGGGAACATGAAGACTCCGCTTTGGCTTGGCAAAAGTTGATGCCTTCTGTGCGGGGAGTGGGGGGCTGGATATTTGTTGTTGGTTTTTTTTCTTTGTTATTTTTCTAAGGCATTTATTCATTGCACCAATCATCTGACTTGCACCCATCATCTGATGCCACCTCTTCTTCCCTTCCTTGTACTCCTCAAGTGGGGAGAAAAAAGTAATTGGGTCATGGATGGCACAAGGGAAAAATAAAATGTTTTGCATGGCTTAGAGGAGGACCGTGTGTGTGAATTTGCCTGTTGTCCTGCAGGATGCTGTTTCTCATATGTTTGCCAAGTATAATAATGCATTTTGTATATGGATAGATACTTCCATCTACCTGTATAAAATGCTGAATTGAGAGTCTCAGCAAAACAATTAGTCATTACTTCATTTTTTAAATTTTTTTTTAACTGAAATGTTTCCTAAAACAAGCAATTGTGGGAAAACCTTTAAAGCAGTGACACGAACACTACCTCTGTTCCTGCCAGCTTGTAACTGTGGCTTGTTTGGGTATTTAAAGGCTTTTCCCACCATACTGACTGTTATCTGAAGGCGTTCCCTTACTGTTAGCTGTGATCTCCTGGAGGAGCAGTGCTGGGCTGTCCTGCACTGTGTGCTCTTGCTGTAATGTCAAGTGAAGGAGTGTGAAGCTGTGTTCGTACCGACTGTGATCCGTTGGCATTGACCTTTGCTGCATGACCACGTGAATCGTCGTCGTCTCCTGTTGGTGATGGAGTGCATCCAGGTTGTGTTGCTGTGGAAGGTTCATCGTGCTCAGCTGGAGAGGTGCTGTGCCCTTTGGGTGTTTTTTGCTGTTGTCTTGGTTTGTGATGTCCCAGTGATGATGACCAACCAGTGAGTGGCCGTGCACCGTAGTGATTCTCAATGTGTGATGCTGTGTTGGTGTCGTGGGGACCCTTTTTGGGCTGCTGGTGGCACACAGGACAGTGAAGTTATTCCCTACCTGGTGGGGAAGGGCAGCGCCTGGCTGCCCGGCTGCCTGCATTCCCTTTGCAGTGTGGAGCAGGCTGGGGTCAGACCAGAGCTCACAGGGCTGAGATGGCAAACAGATGCTCTTGGAACTCCCAGGCTGAGAGTGAGCCCCAAACCTCTAAAATCCTGTAGAGCCCCATCAAAGCCATTCTTAACGATCCTCTCATTGAGGTGAGGGAAAAGCAGGACTGTGAACTGTCATTCTCAGCCCACGTTCATCAAAACCTCAATGGCTTGAGAAAAGGGAGCTGTGTGCTTTGCTGTCCTACATGCCCAGAATTACCTTTTTTCAAGGCTGTACTTTTTTATACTAGCAGCGTGAGGAGTTGTAAGGACTGGGAATCAGTGAATAAATGTCCCTCTTTAAAGGGTCTTAAATTCCCCATGCATTTTAAGGGCATTTTTCCTATTTCTCCCACAAACCATCATTTGAAGCAGAGCTCCTACATGTGGGGCCCTGGAGGAGACACGTGGGGCTCTGCCTCCTGTAGGGCTTGGGAGAACACGGGTTTATACAGATGCTGATGCCCACTGCCATCACCAAGAGCTTGGTGGTGCCACCAATGGCACTGCCATCAGAAAGGTGCGCTGTGCCATCCCGGGGGGGTTTGTAGCCAAATCCGTGATGCTCACAGGCTTGGATGTGTTTGCATGAGAAGGTAGATGGTTTGCTTTTGTTTTCCACGTATCGTAATCGTTCTTTTACAATGGAGTGCCTTACGACTAGTTTACAAATACTGTGTATTTACGCTGAGCTGTTGGACTCTGCTGTTTGCTGTTCATTTCTTGGTGCTTTCGGTGTATCCGGCGGCATTGAACTGCTGCCACTTCCTCCAGCCCCGCTCAGCCCTTCCCCATTTCATTGCTGCCCAGGGGGCGCACAGCAAACTCCTGCCGCAACCCAAACCCAACCCCGTCCCAATGGAAGACCCCAAACGGGGCCCTGTTCTCCCACCTGATCCCCATTGGGTTGGCTCAGCATCTGTGGGAGGAGAGCGAGGGGTGGGCGCTGTGCCGCGTCCAGTGCACCGCTGTCCTCTCTCGTAACAACGTTCTTTTTATTCCATTGTATTTCTGAAGTCTGGTTTTGTATTTAAATCAGCCGTATCTTTTGTACTGTGCGTTGACGGTAGGGGATGCATAATGCACTTTTTTTTTTTTTTACTTTTGTTTGTACAAACGTTCTGTATATTGTATGTCCTTCTTGTGAGAAAAATAAACTTTTTTTTTTTTCCCCTTTTACAAATAAGCTTGGCGGTGTTTTTGGAGGTGGAGAAAGAACGAGCACAGCTGTATCCTCACTGTGCTGGTTACGTTCTCCCTGCCCTGCTGCGAGGGTGCAGCGTCAGGAACACACCTGAGCTACGGCGTCGGCACGACTGTGGGTTTTTAAGGAGAAACAAGGGGTACAAGGCAGGGATTTCTCTTTTCAGAGCTGTTGGGCTGGGTGCGAGGAGCTGCCCTGGGGTCCCCCCAGGAAAACCTCCGCCCTTCTCCACGCCGGCAGCCCTTCCCCAGCACCCACCGCGTTTTTGCCTTTAAAGGCAAACAGAGAGCGGTGCCGCACGCCTGCGAGGAGCCGGGTGCTGCTCTCGCTCTGGGAGCTGCATCAGGAGGAACATGTCAGTGTTTACCTTGGCAGGGAAGCAAAGCACAGGGCTGGAGATGCTCTCTGGCTTTGGCGCACTGTGCTGAGTGCCTCAATAAGTCCTTAACCCCCACCAGAAACGGGCGCTTTGGGGAGGTTTTCTGCATCGCGTTTGCTGCGGGCTGGAAGTTGCGTGCAGGGCGAGGCGCTGATATGTGCGTGCAGAACTCAGCGGGGGGGAAAGGAAGCCCTGGGCTCGTGGCATCTCCACGGCAGTGCTTTGCACGCACGAAGCTGTGCACTGGGGAGGCACTGGGAGTGGAGGTGAGTTTGTTCCTCTTCTGATTGAGCGTCACTTTTGGCAGCGCCATGCTGGCCGTGGTCGGTGCTGCATCCTGTTGGGACGTTGCTATGGCAAAACCACATCTGCAGTGACGTGAGGACTCGGAGGCTCACGGGGCTGAGATTTCTCAGTGTGTTCTGCCCCAGCGCATCCTTATGTGGGACCTGAGATTTTTAGCCCCTTGCCCTGGCTCTGCAGGAAGAGCTGGGTAGCAGTGCTGTGCCTCCATTGAGCATCTCCCGTGGGCTGGACATGAGCCCGAAGCTCAGGGTGAGGACTCTTATCTGTAGGAGAGAGAAAATGATGAGTTTGCTTTTGATATGGTTTTGATATGCTCTGCCACGTCCCTGTGAAGGGCTGTAAGGAGTGGGAGCGCAGCACCGGCTCAGTGCCCTTTGGGCCAATTTGGGAGTTTTTCTGCATCCCTCGTTGGGATCCCGCCCCAGGGCAGCACTGCACCATAAAAGGCAAAGCGCTGGGGACGTGCTGGGATGGAGCCCAGTGCCAGGCACCCGCTCCCCCCGTGGCCGAGCTCCTGGAGCCCGCTTGGCAACGGTAGCCACATCCGAAGGGAAGAACTTTTGAGCTCACAGCACTGTTTAGAGAAGCACCCAGCACATCTGTAGGGATTTTTGCTAAGTTATGCTTTGGAGTCTCCTATAGGAAAATTGTTTCTGAGCGTGGCTGCCGTTGAGCCCCGCTGTTAATGATGCCACAGAAACTCCCTTAGCACTGAGCCGTCCCTGCGTTCACTGCAGCCGGCCCGGCCCTCCTGGGGGCCCTGCGCCAGCACTGCTGCGTCCCAGCGAGCAGCAGGCGGGCGGCAGCTACGGGGTGAACCCAGCGCTCCTGTTAAAGGGTGACCCTGCCCTGACGTTGGGCCTGACCCCAAAGTCACTGAGAGCAGAGGGGAGCGAGGAGCTGTGACTGCTGGGGAAAGAGGAGGAGAGAGCCTGGAGGAGGATGCGAAAGGAGCGCTGCCCATAAAGCACCATGGGGCAGCACGTGGTGCGGTGATGGGCACTGCGCAAGGAGCGACCCCGGGCCCAGCGCTAGGAGCTGTGCCATGCCAGCGGGCAGCCACGAGGTTGAGAAGCCCCCACAGCGCCAGCACTGAGCAAGGAGAAGGCAGTGAGCCCTGGTGGAATCGAGGCGTTGAGCATGGCAGCCTCCACCTGGCAGTCCTGTGGATATTTACGGGATGACACAAGCCAGGCACGAGGCACAGACTGCGCCACGTCCCGGGGAGGTTCGGCAGTAGCACGCCAGGAGTGCAGCCCACAGCCTCTCCAGCAGGGCCTGGGTGCCACGATCCGGGCACACTGCCCCACCATGAGCTCTGCGGGGATGGAAGGAGAAAGCCCTCCGAAGGTGTATGAGATGCAGGTGGGGCAGCGGCGGGCCGGCAGCGGGCGCACGGTGAGGCCGGTGGTGTACAGGCTGGAAGAGAGCGAGTATCGGCGGCTGCTGAAGGAGGCAGAAGAAGGCCCTGAGGAGGACTGGGAGCCTGAGAATGAGGGGCTCGGACCGCAGGAGGGCTGCCCAGGGAATGGGGTGGCGGCGAGCCCCAGGCTCCATCGGATTGATGTCCTGCGGGGAGCCCCACTGATCCGCTCGTACTCGGAGAGCAGCGTGGAGCTGCGGGTGGCGAGCAAAGCGCCGGACTGCCCCACGGAGGGTGGCAAACCCCGCGTCCCTGCCAGGTCAGACAGCTTTGAGCTGATGGATTACATCCTGCAGAGCAGGCAGGAGGCGGGGGCACCGCTGTCCCACAGCCCCCGAGACGGATTCATGCAGGTGTTGGGCTTTGCACCGTGCCAGAACGGAGAGGATGGGCAGCTCACAAAGAGCCGGGCGGCGAGAGATGCTGGTAAGCTTACAAGGCAGAACAGCACCCAGACGCTGGAGAACAAGGAATGGCTTGGAGCAGATGTGGATATGGAGATGCTGGAGTCATACAGCCAGAAAAAGTCACCTCCGGCCCCACCGGCCAGGTCACACAGTAAGGAGAGCCTGGCATTGAGCATGAGCAAGACCGTAGCACTGAGCGAGGCACTGCTGGAGCCCTGCAGCCCTGCGGCCCGGCCAGGGGGGAAGGAGCCAACAGGAGGGGGCCCAAAGGAGCAGGGGAGGAAGAGCGAGGAGGAGGAGGAAGAGGAGGAGGAGAAAGTGCTCAAAGTTGCCGATGCGAAGAAAACCTTTGAGAAGGCGAAAGCAGAGGGGAAGGCAGCAGCTAGCAGTGCCCGGAAAGGTGAGGGGGACAACGGGGGGAGTGGGGCACAGGTCTGCAAAATAGGTGGAAAGGGGTCAGTGGGGTGAGGGCTGCGGGGCAAGGCTCCATCCTGCAGAGCTGTGGTTGTATCAGGGACGGAATTCTGACAGGTGCCAGTGGAACTGCTGTGTGAGATGGGGTTTTGCTATGTCATGGCTCTCCTGGAGCCTTTGGTGCAATTAGTAAATGAGTGCCACGTCTAGTTCAGATGATTTCATGAACAGATCTAACATAAGAGTGACTGCACGGTACTTTTTCACGCTTTCACCTGTCCTTCTTTGTCTCTCTGCACTCTGATATCAGTTTAATTGTGGTGTAATCAGCAGGTATTGTCATCTTCAGGTTCTTTTTTCCTGTGCTGGGACTTGGCTGGGTGAGTGCAGGAGAATGACATCAGTTGGAAGCCGTCCCCCTGCAAAGCTGTGAATAAGTGAGCTGTGCTGGGATTTTAGCAGTGAAACAGAAACAGGGAGAGGTTAGCAGTGAGTGTGCTTGAGGACGTGTCGGACCATGATGGTGAAGCTGCACCTTCGGCGTACTGACAGTCTGCAATTGGGGATTTCCTTATAAAGGAAAATAAATGTCAGGGCGCAGGAAATCTGCGCTGGTTTGGAATGGAGTAACGCTGTTATTAAAAGCCAGGGGCTGTTACCCCACAGGGCCGGGCGCTGCAGGGGGCAATCACACTGAGATGAGAGCCCTCCTGGGGTGGTAGAGAGCAGGGGGGAGAGTTCTGTTCCTGCAGCCCATTGAGCAAACCTGCTGCCGAGCTCACATCTTCCCACGCCTCGCGCTGCACAAGGACATCTCGCTTCTGTGTACCGCCGTGTGATGCCTTTCTTATACCTCTGATTTTTCCAGCACCTTTGGCCCAACTTGATCCTAGACAGCAGGGAGAGAAACAGAACGAGATGGCAAAAGGCTTCCAAACTGGTTGACTAATGAGGACAAGACTGGGCTGTGGGATGTTGTGACGCGGAGACCCGCAGCGCCCAGCCCCGCACGCAGCCCCGCACGCAGCCCCGCTCACTCCCTGCTGCCTGCCTGATTTTTTCCTGCTATTCAGAATGATAGGAAGTGTCAGTCCTGGGATATCCATGTTGTAAATAAAATACAGCTTGCTTTTTTCATTACTGCTATTTTTTTTTGTGTGTGTGCGTTCTGCTTTCTTGTCTCTCTCCCATGTTCAGTCATCTGGTGTAGTGGAGATAACAACAAAGAAAAATCCCATCTGTTGCAACCGATTGCTTTGTGGTTATTTGGTGTCCCAACAGTTTAGTTCGGTGCGGGGACCACCAGTCTTTTATTGCAAAAGAAATGAGGAAAAAGGAAAATATATAACGTGACCATAGAATGGTTCGAGTTGGAAAGGACCCCCAAAGCCATCTGGTTGCAGTGCCTGCAGTGCACAGGGACACTCACAGCTCCAGCAGTGCTCACAGACCCGTCCCCTGACCTTGGGTGTCTGCAGGTCCGGGTCTTTGAATGATCCTGGATGGAGAAGAAAACTATAGGAGGAGAAAGCTGAGCTCAGATTTAATATAAAGATCAGCTCTGGCTGTAAAGCTGGGCAGCACTGTGTTCTGTGCCTTTCCTATGGAGCTGCTGGAATGGATGGCTGTGACATCTCTATTGCTACACATAACGTGTGTGAGAGTGTGCATATGTAGTAATAGATGTGCTTTATCAAATGTGTGTTAAATCATTCATAGAGGCAATATGAATTATGGATAATGCCATGGCCTAATGCTCATGTGCAGGGATGGGGCCATGCGGAGGTGGGCAGAGCTAAAACTGGGGGGCTCTAGCTCCTCAGCCCTACTTTCACTCACTCATTCACCTTTCCTTCTGTCTGCATCACTGATGTGCTCTCACATTTCTCCCTTTCCTAGCTGTTATTCCACAAACCTGACAGAACACATTGTTCATGTAAGCTTTGCTCTGTGATTCCACAGCTCCCCTTTCTGGCCGAGGACTGAATAAAAGGGATTTGCTTGCATGGTCCCGAGATCTGAAGGCTGAGCTGGGATGGGTGGGCCAGCACCAAGAAATGCCTCAGAACCACTGTGCCCTGCTTTGGGTGGCCGTTGAGGCGTCCCTTAAAAATAAAGCTTGTGCAATGGCTAGAGCTGCTCTTGCCAACGTGTGCCCATTGGTCTTTGGGAAGTCCAAAGGCTTCAAGAAATATGGTGGACACAAATGTCCTGGACAAGTTGTATAGTTGGGATGCCCACAGTCCCAAACTCTCCTGTCTGGCGTATTTTGTGTGACTTAGCAGTTAAGCTGCAAAAATGGGACTTTTGAATTGTTGATCTCTCTAAACCCTCCGTAAGCCGTTTTCCTTCATTCAGAATATATTTAGCCACGAGGATTTGGGCAAATTGAAATGTTTGTAACAAATGCATCCCCCAAGTGATTTCCTAGAGACTGCTTGGCTGGGCCGTGTCCGTCAGGGATGGCTCTGCCCTGCCCTGCCCTTAGGAGCAGCTCAGGCCCCCTTGGAGGCAGCAGGCAGTCTGTGCCACCCTATTTTCCATGTTCTAATGTCTCATTTATAGCTATCTTAAGCACTTATTCTTTCAGTGGGATGCCCGGGGGAGATGCACTCCTGAGGTTTGCTCCTGATGCTGCAGCTGATTCCGCGCTGTGCTGCGAGCAAACCAATTTTCCAGCAGCGCTGAGAGCCACAGCTCTGGGCAGATGATGAGGAGCAACGCTCCAGAGCTTTGCAAATAGCCCTGTGTGCCTCCTGCTGTTGCTTTCTTCACCTTTTCTGAACTAAAACGAGCATCGCTGCGCTGGCAAGGAGCGTTGTGGGCTGTATTGAATGTGTTACTTATAAGGCGTGTCGGGATCGCCGCGGTGATTTATTGCACCGATGGAATTGATGCATATTTGCAAGCAAGCTAAATTTAGCTGTTGACCTAAGTTCCAGAGATGGAGTCTGGAGCCACGGTGCTGTTTCCGTATAAAGGCTGTGAGACAGACTCGGCAGCAATTGTGCATCCATGTAGCAGAGGGCAGGATAGGTGAGATGGCCGAAAGCAGCAGAACATGCATCTGAGTTAATTCTGATTTTTTCCTGCAAAATTTAATTACTGGGTGTGTTAGAGCTTCTAAAATAGAGGGACAAACTTTGTTGTCGGATCCCTTGTAGCTGGTAATAGGATATTTTCCTTTAGAAAACTTAGAATTTGTGACATATTTTGACAAGCTGTTAGGCTCGGCTGTGATTTATGTACGGTTTGTTAGAATGATTTCATTCAGCTGAAGTGATGAAGATTACTGTTTACAGAGGAACCAGAGAGCGTCTGTAGAACCTTGGCCATCCTTTTCTGTTGCTGAAGGCTTCAGCCTGAAATTTCTGTCTTTTCTTCATCGCCTTCTATGGTAGTCTGTTGGGATTGACACGGCTCATTAACACAGGTCAGGGGCCGAATGATCTTTGGAGCGTTTTCACCCAAACTCTTAATGTAACACCAGTGAAAATCCAACAGGTATCGCTTCCTTCTGAGTCAGAGCGAGTGATTCTTCCAGCCATGTGTCGAGTGAGCTGCCCTGCACAGGGAGCGCACAACACGTCGCTCAGGGCGGTTATTGCAAGGGCTGTGCTCTGGTTGGGTTTCTCAGGGCAAATTTCACTTCGTCCCCTCTGCATATCACTCATCATAGAGTCATAGAATGGTTAGTGCTGGAAAGGCCGTCTGTTCCCAGTGCCTGCAGTGCACAGGGACACCCACAGCTCCAGCAGTGCTCACAGCCCCGTGCCCTGAGAGTGGCTGTGTGCAGGGATGGGGCAGCACCAGCTCTCTGGGCACCCTGTGCAGTGCCTCACTGCCCTCAGTGTCAAAACTTCCTTATATCCAATCTAAATCTCCCTTCTTTTAGTTTCAAACTGTAGGTAGATGCCAACACCTCACCTGGTTTCTGTTCTAAGCCGTGTGTGGTGTTGGGTACCTTCCACCTTGTCTGTTGCATTTCAGACCAGAGTAATGATTAAAACACCACATCCTGAGCTAAAAGGAGCTATACGCATGCAAGATCATGTTATTATCAGTACCATTATCCCCTTGCATGAGCAGCTTCAATCAACTTTTACCCCAGATGCTCAATAGGCGCAGCACAGCGATGGCAGCGGGACCGGCGCTGGTCACTGACTCATTGTATGACCTTCACTGAGTCACGTACCTGGGTGGAAAACATGAATCACCATCCAAACCCATTAAACTGCAGATTACCTACAGGTCTGCCCCCTGTAGGGCTGCCACGCTGCTTTTGTTTTCCTCTTTTTTCAGATTTCAAGAGATTATTTGTGTGATGAGGGCTGAGCTCTGGGGAGGAAGACATTAATTTCATGTTAACTGCTGCCAAGGGTGGGAGCCGGCCGGGATGCAGCTCTGATCTCCAGGTCTATCGTTTTGTCCCAAGATGTTGCTGGGTATGAAATGGAGATTTTCCTGCTGGTTGGCTGTTGGACTTGTGTAGAAGTTTAGCAAACATTCAATGGCGTTTGCTGGTTGAATTTGTAGTCGAGGCATACGTCGCTTCCTCGCTTCACACACACGCAGCTCGGAGGCTTTCTGCAGGCCCTTCACATGGGAAGAAGCGGCTCTCATCTCCCCACAGCCACCTCACCCAGCTCTGCACCACACAGAGAGGAAGCCACGGGCGTGCCGCTCCCCTGCACAGCCAGGCCCCTTAACCACATGCAAACAGATTCACCAATATTGGCTGAAACACACGAGGAAGCCGTGCAGCCTCAGGTTTTGGCCATGTATGGTAAAAACAGCACGGCCCAATGTGCCCACAGGAGCAAAGCTGTGGGCAGCCCCACACCAGCATCCCCAGAAGGGCTTCACTTCCAGCTTCCGTCTCTGGTTTTACAGCAGCTGGGTGCCCGCTGATGAACCTGTGCGACCCAACGAGGCGACGGCTGATTTCAGTGTGAAACTATTGGGTCCATTCGGTGTTTTTGTTGA